ATGTATGTATATATATATATATTTTTTTTTTAATCTCTGTATACCGGTACACACATAGGCCTATTTACTGTAATAAGAATGAGAAAAAATTACCTGACCGTTTACAAAAGGGGAAAACCTTGAATTTAAAAACTTAAAAGTCATTAAAAGAAACTTCAGAAGTCGGGAAACTCATTTCTTGCCATCAAAGAATCAAAATATTCCCGGGGAGGGCTTCCGATCCCCGTTTTATGGGGTTCATCGATTCATTGAAAAAAGAATAATTATGTGTGCAGCGACTCAATCTTGGTCATGTACTGTATATACACACATAATAGGGCTACTAGTATTTACTGTAATAAGAATGAGATAGTTTACCTGACCGTTTTCAAGATAAGAGGGGGAAAACCTTAAAATTTGAAGAACTTAAAAGTCATTAAAAGACACCTCAGAAGTCGGGAAAGCTCATTTCCTGCCATCTAGTGATCAAATTTTTCCCGCGGATGCCCTTTCTCTTTGGGGTTCAAATATTCATGGAATCGTTTTCAAGAAGGGAAAACCTTGAATTTTGAAGAACTTAAGTCATTAAAAGACACCTCAGAAGCCATCTAAGAATCAAAATTTTCCCAGGGGATGACCCCCACCCGCTTTCTTTTTAGGGTTTTTACGAAAAAAAAGTCTGACCCCCCCCCCCCAAATGTGAACCCAGATCCGCCCCATGTGGGCGTATGGTTACGCATGCGTAAGTCGTAAGCAGATAGCTTTTGTTCGCCGCACACGCTGAATTTGGCACGCAAAAAAATCAAACACGATAGATATTTGGCGTAAGCGCCACGAATGACAAAAAAGCGTTCGAAATTGCACCGCACACGAGAGCTATGTGCGTACGCCAAATGCCACGAATGACACTTGGCGTAAGCAGATAGCTCTCGTGTGCGGCAGGCACATTCACTGTGCCTGACGGTCGTCGGCCGACGCGATTCTATCGAGAATAGCACTCACGCACGCGCGCGCAACGGGTCGTTTTTAATGACTGCCACCGACAATCAAAAGACGGCGGCTCGTTGTTTAACGCTCAGAGTGATCGGAGTTGGCTACGACCGTCGGATTCGTCGTACGACGCAGTGATAGCCCGACTTCAGACGCTTTTAAACGTCATAGCATCCCATCAAAACCGGACGAATTATTGAAAGTTAGACGCCTTTACGTACGTCACGCCGTCCTAACTAAAGGTCAAGGTATTGGAATTAAGGCACATCACTTAATCACTTAACTTTGACTAGAAATTTATAGAATTTTATGTGGCGTCTAGCTGTCATAACATACCGTAAATCGTACTCAAGTGAATTAAAGTAATTACTGTTTTAAAGTTTAGAAGCAGTGGATATCTGGTAACTGTAATACCACGCTCTACATACCTGTTTATTGTTTGTCAAGGTACAACACTTTTTTAACAACCGCAGAGCTAGGCTAACAAATATTCATTTATCAGTTTTGATATGATGTACCTGTAAAATTAGCTTTTTCTTCCTTGTATTATACGCTATATATATAATATTAAGACTAACATTAATTTTAATTATTATTATTAGGTCTATTATTATTATCATTATTTCCAACAGTTTAAATAGATAGCATGACGATTTGTATACCAAATTAAATACACAAAACTTGTATTCAGAAATAAACCAAGAACCTAATATAGTCCTATTGAATAATAGTACCGTAAGTCAGTAAATTGACTACTAATCTAAATTAGCGTTTCTATTCCTGTAAAAGTGCATGAATTTAAGCTACATAATAGGCCTATTATATCAGACATAAATAAGATGTGCGTAGACGATGAATTCTGTTTGCTTGGTTCTTGATAATAAAGTAACTACCCAAGGCGGACTTGTAAGGTACACTGCCGCAGATTGATAGTCGTAGGCTATTAATATTATTAAAATCAATGATAATGATGAGATGGATGATATATGTAAAATTAGCTACAGTAGTTCCATTTAAAGAGCTCAATTAATTTTATTCAGACCTTAGCTTCGCGTTTTGAAAACGCGCTTTAGCATAAATCATAAATCAACCACTAGGCCTACTATACCTACGTACGAGCACGAGCATCCACAATCATTCTCGATTCAGGCGCATATTTTGGTATCTGAAAGTTTGAACTTCACTGTAATGTAGGCCTGTAGTGGAGAAGATTTTTTTTAGAAAACTTTACATTTTTGTTAGGGTTAGTTAAATTTGCTGCAATTGGTCTGTATAACTATAACTGAATCCAATTAAAGATATTAATTAATTGAAGATATGCATTAGGTAATAATACCGGTACATAAAAATGAAATATTAATAAATTGCATAGGTCTCTGTGTACTACTTCAATACAGAAAATAAAAGTCTATGAAGTGAAATGATTCTTAAAATTAGGCAATCGATTCAGAAATTCTCGTCTACGTCTAGTAACAGTTTCCCAAAGGACGAGCTGTCCAAAGCCGAGGGTTTCTTTATAGGCCTAATTATAACAGAAAAATACGGGGACTCAAAGACACTTTGATTCGATACCATTGGATTGAAGATAAGTATATTACCCTAGACGCAGACAATTATTAAGATACCCATGATTCTTTGATGGCTGAGGGATTTGGCAAAGATGTGGTTTCGATGCTGTTAAGCCGACGAAAGGCAACAGATCAGTGGAACCAGTATAGCAGCCGCAGTCTTAATTTGTTAATGTAATGGGTACATATCTCTATTTATTTTTTCCCCTGAAAGTATATTTATTTTAATTGAAAATAGTGATGCTTTGATGACATCTCATATATTTGTTTTTCTATTTCTTCTAGTAATTGGCAACGACCTTCAATGAACTACCTTTTCCAGCAAGATGTGATAGATTATATAACCATAAAAAAACTACAAATTACAGAGCTGCAATTTTCAACCTTTGATGTGTACAATATGATTTCTCAAATTAATTAGCCTGTGAAGAACATCAAACCTGTCGGCGAAATTGGGCTGTCAATGTAACTATATAAATTCCACAAGTCACACTGCGACTCATCATAAATAGTAACGTACGTTCAAATAAATACGAGTCAAATTAACAAGTGAATGCTAATGAATTTGCCGGCGCCCTTCACGAGTTTTACTACGGATATTAAAAGTTCAAGTAAAGATCTTTTTCGGAGTGTCAATCAAACTTTACAGCTGACCAATCAAATCAGGACAAGGAATACACGCGTGTCTCAAAAGCACACATGTTCTTCCACAAAACGCACGTGTTTGCGTATGTTTTATAAGGCTATGTTCACACACGACTCACGCTAGCGTAAAGTTATTCGAGTGGTGTAAACTTGTGCGCGGAGTAGCGCGAACGCCAGTCATATCGCACTATTACTGACGTACGGTAATACCGTAAAACCTCGAATTGAAGCCCACAGTCCATCTCTAGATGAGGCCTATCTCGAATTGAAGGCCCCCTCCCCCTCTTTAGTTTGCAAAATTAACCTCGAAAAGAAGCCCATCTCAAAATGAAACCCATAAGCTTCTCAAGATAGCATAGGCTTCTTTTCGAGATATTACAGTCACACACTCTATATCAGTTTAAGAAAACAAAATAAATTAAATACAAGCTTGGTTTTATACAGTAAGTGATTTAATGCCAGTTACAGTGGCCTTATTTATTGTTTTATAGTACAATTAATTCACAAAATTTACAGCATTCATTGAAAAGAAGCTCCCATCATTACTTTGCAAAAGCAGTCTCGAAAAGAAGTCCATCTCGAAAAGAAGCCCATCCAAAGCAACAGGCCCCAGATTAGCGTACCCCACTGAGTTACGACAGCCACGCCTCAATGATTTTGAACTCGGCCAAGATTTGACCGATCACAATAAGCCTAGGTGTAAACAGGAAATAAAATCGCGAGATTACGAATACGAATATTTCACGCGAATAATTATACGCTAGCGCTTGTTAGGCTACGTTCAGACCTGAGAGATACGCCAGGCGTATAACGCCGGGCGTACGTTAATCCATGGCGTAACTAGCGAGATGTCCAGACTGGGCGATTAACAAACGCTAGCGTAGTACTGTTCGCGCAAAATATTCGTATTCGTAATTCGTGCATTTTATTTCCTGTTTACATCTAGGCTTATTTTTATTGGTCAAATTCTGGCCAAGTTCAAAATCACTGATGCGTGACTGTTGTAACTCAGTCTGGGGTACGGTTTGTTGCTGGATTACCGTACACCAGCGATTGCGCGACGGAATAACGTACGCCCAGCGTTAGATACGCCTGGCGTATCTCTCAGGTCTTAACGTAGCCTAGCACTGTCGTTTTGTGGGAACTTAGCAACAATATCTAAGTGGCAGGGCTTAGTCAAAGGTCCATTATTCCATTGAGAAGCCTGGCTGTACTCACTTATTCAAATGCCATTGAATTAAGTCAATTTATATTTTATTACAAGATTATGAAATTATGATGTGAAACAAGGTATATCCATTTAATAAAAATACAAAAGTACTTTTAGGCTTATGCGCCTATCTTCTCTTCATGCAATGAATACAATATTAATCATTTATCTTTGTGCACGGAATGAATAAGTCAAATGTCTTCGTCGAGTCGTTCAGTTCCAAACGGCGCTTGCTGAATCGCCGTTCTCTTCGGTTGGTGTTTCGCGTACGAACTTCAAATGACATACGATATTCCAGAGTAGGACTGGGTTGTTATAAGTTTTTAAAAAAATACTGAAATTGCCGACAACAACTATGTGTGATTTCCGAGTAAATTTTACATGCTTTACGATGGATTACAGTCGAAAGAATAAGGAAAGGATAGAAACACCACGATTGTGTGTAAGAGATTTCAAAATACTGTATGTACTTAACGCTAAGCCTTGTTCGTTGGATATTTTTGCTAAGGTCCTACAAAAAGATAGCGTATAAAGGCCAACTCAGACAGCGTCGTACGACGCAGCCCGACGCGATTTATTGTCGCGTCGGGCCTGTGTGAGTTAAACGCAGACGCGATGGTGTGCGTCGGTGGCAGTCGCGTCGTAGAATATTAAACATGTTTAATATTTCTCACGACGGCTTAAGACTGTCCCCGACTTGCGTTTGTGGGACACCATGTGTGTTTATGGAATAAGCGCGTATTCTTAGCGATGCTCGAATTGGTCAGTTGTTAACTTTCCTTAAAGCGGGCACGCCAAACATGATGGTCATGCGCGCGTACGGGCATATCTAAATGTTGAGTGATGCCCCAAGTTGACAGAGAAGCATAGAGCTATTAAACAACTAGAGTGCTGACAAGATGGCGAAGCAATGCAGAGTTGTGTATGTGTACCATCCAAGATGGCCGCCGTAGGAAAGCGCCACCTTCAGGCTTAGTATACAAATTATTACCATAAATAAGCCCTCTGACTGACTATTATTTAATTAATGATAATTAGTACTGATAATAATAAATTATTAAACTATCGTAGCCAAAAAAATCCAAGTAGAGCATCTTATTCAAAAATTTAAAAAAAATTAAAATTGTGTACATTACACTTATACACCGCAACGCTCGAGTTTCAAACATACGGGTAACTAGCTATACTGAACTTTCCGTGCAAATTGAGGGCGCCATTGAAAATGATAGCGCTTATGCGAAATTTGATTGGCTAAATCTATGGCAGCCATCTTGGATGGTACACGCACACAGCTCTGCGTATTCGAACATCGAATACATTGCAGTTAGCGCTCTAGTATTCTTATTATATCTCTATGCAGAGAAGAGACTTCATGTTTACATTCTTAAAGTTCTGTCTTGATTATCAAATTTTCTTTGACAAACCACTGTTGTATACCCATATATAGTCATGATGTGACGTCACATGTTTTTGTCAAATAAAATCTGATAGTCTGGGCACGGCTTAACATTTTAATAAATAATTTTGATATAACTAGTAACTAAATCACTGTCTCCGAACTGAGGCTAGATTTACAATATCACGTACAACTAATAACTAATAACTTATATCATACAACTTGCAATCGGTTATCACATAGTTCACTAACCTTCCAATGTCGCCATGCCAACGTGTACTTGGAAGGGTGAGGGGTTTCAGCCAGGGGGTTATTCTAACATGACCTCAGTTTTCTTGTCTATCATGTGTTGCTGGACTTAAAAGGTCACCAACGAGACCTTAAGGTTTATAGAGATAATATATAAATTGAACATTGACATACTCACAATTTCTATCATATTTTCCCACAAAATGTTAGTAATTAAAATAAATATTAATACGAGGTTTCTCCACAAAATGATGAATATTTTGCACATTGCTTGTTAACATACAGACAGTACTCACGGATTCCATGTGGTACTTCATAATATCAGCTGCGACCTCTGGAGTACGCTCTAGGTTATCTCGGCCCAAAGAGTATAAAACTGCAAGAGGTCCGACTGCTGAGATTCTTTGGAACGCAATCCTATTTCAAAAAGTACTACCCAAAAGGGGCGTGGCCTTTAAAAGAACGTAAAGTGCGTTCATATCGAACGCGTGCTGTGCGTTCATATCGAACGCGTGCTGCGCGTCTACAGAAAGTATGCTGGAATTCGAAACGCAGCACGCTTTCGATACGAACGCCTTTTACGTTCTTATGAAGGACACGCCCCTTCGTGGGAGTACTTTTTAACGTTCCATTGCCTGTATACAAAGGGCAGTCGGACCTCTTGCAGTTTTATACTCTTTGCTCGGCCCTAATTTGTGAGGGCGCGTATCAGTTGATTGAAAAAACGTCCATGGGGCTGGATTGTATAATAATATACAATCAACAAGCAAGCCTCTCTGGTCTAGTGGTATGTCACTCGTTCGCTGAGGGAACTTTTCCACACAAGTGAACTTTTTCGTCGATTGAATTTCAATTCAATTCTTTATTCCTTTTCTTCAAGACATGCAATAACACAGTAATAATAAAGAACGGTCATAGAAAAAAATGAAAGAGGTATACAAAGCAAGCAAAATTATGCTTTAGATTATGTATCCTAAACAATAAATATAAATATATATAGGCATATATATAATCAATGTAAATATTGTAATTAAATTCGAAACATCATGCCTAAAAGAGATTTCATGTTGATACACTTTACGAAAGCGTGTTATTACATAAATGGCATTTATCCTGCAAACATCTATTACATTTTCTCTGTATTTATTAATAAAATAGGCCCTAATCATTTAGTTTTACGTTAAAATTGTACTTATTTTCAGTTTTCCGTATATCTTCAGGTAGTTCGTTCCGGACTTTAGAACCTGTGTATGAAATACTCTGTTGGGCGGTATGTGTTCTCATTCTAGGGATGCACAAACTATCTTTGTTTGTTTCGAGTATTGTGATTATGCACAGATTCTGTATGGAATACGCATAATAATACAGGATCTTTACGTCATTGTACTTTTATTCGAGCGCTGTTTTTACCATCATTATTTCTTTTTACGGTATATTAAAATACCAATTCAGATGATAGGCATATCTGTGGTTTTATAATTAGTCACCGTTACTGTTGCTCATTTGAACCTAGGCTTATGCAATCTAATTAGCTTTATACGTAATCGATTCATAGTCAAATTCTCTCCGCTATAATACTAGCCTGACATGTATGTATCGCGTAAACTCATTTAAATTAGTTGCGCTCAATGACCAATAGAATGCGGCATGGGAATAAGAATGTGCGCGCAAAATGGGTGGGGTCAAAAGTTTACCACAGCTCATATTAAAAATATAATAATAAATTTATTTTCTTATTCATTTGTTTTAATAATGTATGTAATGTTTTACTTATGTACAGTTCTTTGATAATTAAATATAGCCTACAGGCCTATATTATAAGTTTATTTTCTTATTCATTTGTATTAATAATTTATTTGTTTTACTTACAGGTCTTTGACACTTATATATATATAATTATATATATATAATTATATATATGTATATATATAATTATATATAATTATATATATCTATGTATTTATTCGTATTTTATTATCAATGTGTATATTTACTGTTGCTTGTATTTGTTGTAAGTACTTAGCACTCGGTTGAAGAGTCGGAGATGTTAATAACTATAACGTCATACAGACAGTTGAGTGAGTGAAGCTCGGCAGTATCAAGTGTGTTAGTCTTAGTGTCTGCAGACAGAGCGTGGCGGTGCATGAAGTACTCCTACGCTTGGTAGTACGGCACATTTCAAATGGGGAGGAAATAACGTTTATTGGTAAAGCAATTTATGAGTACTATTTAATTTAGATTGTCTGATATTTGTATTAAGTGACTCTTTCATTCGAAGAATTAATGTCGCGCCTGCATTTATCTGTCTTGTCAAAAGTATAATAAACGTCCGGTATATTAGGTGACTGTGAAGCTACGCTGCGCAATATACACATCATGTCACTGACTTGGGATATTTAGATGCGTTGATTGCAAATGCATCCAACGTTGCTTATGCGTTTTGGCGTTGCTTTTGCTTGCGTCGTACTCAACGCGTCTAAAAGAATTGCTTGGTGTGAACCAAACCTAACATTACACGTTGTGCGTCAATAATAATCACCATGATCAATGATTGGCTGATCTCTGCCTACACTTTTTAAACCGGATTGCTCATTGGCTTGTTTTAGTGAAGCGACCGATGCCGTGTAGGGGTGTCTGGATTGTCAACACGTTACTAGACATCTACGTCTTGATATTGCACGTCGATACGTATATAAGCGCATCATTCATATTAACAGTAGGCCTATACGCTTGCTAGAGAATATAGGCCTATAGCATTGCACACACTCTAATATTGTCAGTTCTGATTTGTTTGTGATACATAAACAAATATACACAGGTCTATTGATATAAAACAAGTAGGGACAGACACACTGGAAATTATTGGAAAACAGCATGCTATTTGAATGCTGCTTTTTAGTCTTTTAATTCACATCGGAATTGAAATTTAATAAAAATAAATAAATACTAAAATCAAGGTGTCCTCATAAATACTTACGCCAGCGCGTTAGACATGCATTGGCCTATGACATATTTTAATGGCTTATTAAAGCAGTCACACCGAGGTCAAATTTTCGGATTGGAAAACATACTGAACCGACTAGAAAATCGAATCGAATTTATTTGGATTCCTATGTGAATGCATCTTTAAGCGTTCCAATGGTGACGTTTGTAGGCGTCATGATTGTAAATATCGAGCAAAGATCTTATGAACAAGATAGCGTTCCCCACGATTTCTGCGTGCAAATTCTGTAACAACGCAGTAGGCCTTCGCCCTTCCGCAATTCCAATTAGGCTACTTGAACTTTGACATCTATGATCTTCGTGCAAATTCTGGAACAACCACCATAGTTAAAAACTAAGACGCCCTCTCTTAATTAATTAATTCATATGTTTCTTTTTATTGAACATCGACGCTTCTGTTCGTTATGCGTATAGAATCATGGAGAGCGCTATCTTGTAAGATTTGTAACGATAAAGGGCGTTAGGGTTCGACTGAAGAAATAATTACTGGTAGGTCTGATTGTATCAGGAGGAAAACCTAACAGTTATTACTGTATCTTTATCTCGGAGATGTGTTTTTTATAATTAGAAATGAATAAATATACGGGAGCCTATTTTTATGTTTACCATATCATGCCCAATTTGTTATGCTTTAAATTTAGGCTCAGTGGCCAGAATTTTGCGTGAAATCACCATAATGGATTGCTGTTGATGAAGGTTGTTTAAGTATATATAAATTTTTTTTAAGATAATGAAAACCACACTAGCTTAGGCCTATATAAAAAGAGAATATTGGTCTGGGCTCTTTGATGTGTCCTTCGCTTTGCAACAATTGTCACCTTGATTCCGTAGACCTAATAGACTTTATATTAAAGTTTTTTTCGTCTGCTTTTGTTATTATTTTGTTCTTCGACTTTATCGTGCTTTATTCTTACTTCCCTGCAACGTTAGACCTATTCAGTCATGGCTAGCAGAATTCTGTATTTTGGGTTGCTCATTATCTCAACAACAATTTATCCTGTATGCCATTTAAAAATTATCTGTATTCCAATTCTCTCAATTCATGATTACTCAATTAGGGTCGTTTTCAGAAGTTAATCGTGTAACGGTGTGTCGCAGAACAGTTGTTTTAACACAACACAAATCATTAACCAGAGTGTTTTTTGTTTTGTTTTGTTTTGTTTTTTTTTTTGTTTGACTCATTTCCTCAGCAGAGTATATTTTCTCTGTAAACATCTTGTAGCCACTTAACCTCGTTAATGCGTTTGGTTTTATTGCTCAATCTTTTCCTAATGTCTCTGTAATTCACTGTGATGTAAAAGAGAATTTTATGAAAATGAATCGTGCTTTACACATGGCTGGAAGCTTCCCAGGTGGTGTAAATGCGAATTTAATGATCGGATAAAACAATGGATGTGATCAATATAATAAATTCAAACAGATCTACGGTATTCTGAATTCGAATCTGACCATTGAAACATGTAAGCCTGTAAGCATATTTCACTATTCTTCGCCATAGATATTTTTAATGCCGAAGTGCATTAATATTGCGAGATTAAAGTTGAAGTTTATGGTCAAGCCAAATACACCTATACTATACTATAGACCTTTCCGGAGTGTCAATCAAACTTAACAACTGACTAATCAGAACAGCGCCAGGAATACGCGCGCGTCTCACAAACACACGTGTTGTCCCACAAACGCACGTGTTCGCCTGTTTTAACACTGTCGCCTTGTGGGACCTTAGCAACAACATCCAAGGGGCGGGGCTTAGCGGAAAGGTCCATTAACACCTCTGCATTGCGTAAACCCGAAACAACTATATAAATTGGTCTAAATATAGTTTATATAGTTTTTCCGGTAAAATACAGCAATATCCACGACGATTTTTATTACAATAAATATAAATATTATATAATTGAGTGTCTATTGAGATCTAGCCTTATAGTAGAACACTGTCGATCTTAGACAATAAAAAGTCCAAATAGACCTCTAACACTACATTACTCAGTCAAGAGAATCAGCTCAATTTAAAAAATACAGATCGTAGCAGAGATTTGTAATGTACAGTACGTCTAGGTTTATTTAAATGCTTCAGTTAATTGGAAAGGGAGTAGTATTTTCGTTTTAATTGTTTTTATTTAAATATATCATCTTACTTAAACGAAGTACCAGTAAACAGTGTTTGTTGCCACTTAATACGTACGTCATCTTAATAAAAGTAAATTTAGTACTTTCAGGACATACGCAGTAATATGCGCATGCCACGCTCACATGTAACGCGTGCGTACCACAACCTTTCATCCAATAACAAGAAAATGAAGTGGGATAATTCGTCACCGACAACACGAAGAGACACGAACTTCAAAAATCATGTTTTTTCAATTTTTTTTTTGACATTTTGATTATTTACATCGAACTTTAACTTTTCATCTAATTGTTAAGAGTGCAACTACACTAATTAGCTAATTAGGCTAATTAGCCATTGCGTACAAACCGAGAAAATGGATTTTCCGTTTTCACGAAGACACAAACTTTCAGTGGGTTATCAGAAAACGCGCGTGTAACGTTGCTATCGTTGTGATTGTGTAGATGAGGCCTGACTGGGTTAGCTCTAGAGGAAAAAGGAAAAAAAATCCCTATTTTCCTAGGCACAGCGGCACCCTACTTGCAGTATTACCTGGAATAGGCTATACGCATGCATCAAGTGTGGAATTATTAGTAAAAACATAATAGTTTTAGCAGGATAAACCTAGTTTGTATGGGTAAACATAAGTGGGTAAACATAAGTTTGTGTCTGACAACGGAGCGCTTACAGCGCTTAAAATGAGATTTTCGTTTTCATGCTAGTCAGGTGAATTGAAGTTAAGAAAAGAAAAATGAAATGAACATTTGAATTATTTAATGCTTTATCTTAATAATATGTAAAACAAAATCAACATTTTGATATCTTGGTAGTGAAATTTTTGTAAAGTAATCCACTTTAAACATTTTTTTCTCAAAACGTTATTTTTTTAATTATTATTATTATTATTTAAATTGAAGTTTGTGTCTCTTCGTGAAAACTGTGACGAATTTATTGATGCTCCTACAATAGACCTACGTTTTAGTTGTTTAAACTATCGAATAGGACTAATAATATTTGTTTGGCTTCACTCCACTTTTGACGTTAAAACGTGTTTTTCATCATATAACGAAGGCCGTAATATTAAAGATTATATACGTTTTTATTTGGATTTACTCATTCGTGATTATGGTATCGCAAAAAAAAAACGCATCAACAATGAC